CGTTTCAGATGCTGAACTCTTGCTAGGCTCATAATTGTCATCAGAGCCAGAAGAAAAGTGTGTAATAGAATTTTCTGGTGACTTCTCGAAAAACGTTACCACTTCTTCATCATTAAAATTTTTATTCCTTTTCTTTTTACGTAACACAACAAAATTATTTTAATTGTTGTGAGTATAAAATTTTGCCTTAAATTATTAATTATTTGCTTCACTTATTAAAAAAGTTATAACTTTAAGTTCTGTACTGATCAACAAAATCCAACAGAATACTTATTTGTTAAAAATATTTGTCTTATACATGAAGATGCATATAGAATTAAACAAAATTAAACAAGTATAATGTACATATGTACGTTTGTTTTGTACGCTGTTTTATTGCATTGTTTGCCAGGGAAGACGATTCAAAATTCAAAATTAAAGTAGTGTATAAGACAATATGAAACAGTGTATCAAATTCTTACACCGTTTTACTTTTCAGTTTATTGCAAAAATTTTTTTTATTAAAATTTAAAAAGCGTGTAAAAGTAACATACACTTTTTTATTTGGTATTGAAATTAACAACTGAATGATAAATTTTCTACCAAAATAGTGTAAGAATTCATTACGTTATTTTAAATTTTGTAAAAAGTTACGGTTTGGCAATAAAACAAAGTAAACGCATTTTACGCTATTTTGTTATTAATTAGTTTCTAAAAATGCTTTATACAATATTTTCGTTTTTATTTAAAAAGTATGTTAAAATGAAAAGCTAGAGAAATATAAAGTAACTCAACTTATAGAATCGACTATGGAGAATCCAATGGTGATAAAATCGGATAACGACGTATAAATGTTATACGCTGTTTTCTTTCTCAGCCGACGATATCTTGTAGTTCCTTCAGATTTGACAAACCGCAGCTACCTTTCTGATAATAATGTAAGCTGGCCCCTTTAGCTATTCTGTAATGAACTTAATTACTTTTTTCAAAATATATATTTGTAGTCAAACGGAAAAATATCTTCCAGAATATTATTTTCGAATTAAAACATCATTAATAATATTGTTCTTGTCACTCATAACTGATATAATTCCAATAATTTTTTGATATGATAACCAATATAATTAACTTATAAATGATGTACGGTAAACGTAATATAATGCAATCATTTTAATAAAATATTTGCGTAAATATTATTATGTATATATCGTTTGAATGCCTTAATATAATTTTTGCTATCTATTCCTAATTAAGGTTACTGACTTAAGAGTAAAAGTTAATTACAATATCACTTATCATAAAAATTGTTTCAATTGCTTGCTAAAATAAATTAAGTCTTAATGAAAATATTTATATAGTATTTATTATGTGGCTTAAGTATTGAAGGCTGAAAAGGGCGTATAACTTAACAATTTACGTATGTATAAAAAAAAAAAATTTGATGTGAACAACACATAACCGACCAATAAGATTATGAAAATTTTCTTTAAATATTTATTTCAATATAATACAATTTTGTGATCATAGTTGAACTCTTAGAATTTTGACGATTTGCTGGTATTGTTGAAGCCTGATCTTAAAAATTATACTCACAATCAGTTAATAAATATTTATGCTCTCATTTCCCAGAAGTTTTAGAAAAATAATAATAATTTTATTGGCAAGTTTTCTTATTGTCACAATAAGAATTTTTCTAAAATTTATTTAATAGCATTTTCACCACAAAAAAAAAATACAATATTCTAATTCTATAAGCGCATGTATATTGTATATATACATTAACCTCATAAATATAGCTTTATATGATAGCTCATATATAGATCTATCATACATACATATATATGTGCGTAAAATTAGTGTTATCACAAAATATATTATTTTGAACAAGAATAAAAAGAAGAAAAATAAAAATATATTCTAAAATTTTAATGAAGAAATTTTCTATCAAACAATTAAAATATTTTTTTCTCGCATGAGATAAAAATATATCAAGAGATATAAAATGTTATAATAATAATATTATTTTTTATTTTATTTTTTCATAGTTTAAGTGAAATAAAAAATATATTTTTCTCGCATGAGATAAATATATATCAAGATATATAAAATGTTATGATAAATTAGTATAATAAATAAAAAATTAATGTTTAGATATCTGTTATACAAAAATATTTGGAATAATATTTTTTATGTTTCTTTCTCTTTTGATTTGTTGGCAACAAAAAATCTTTCAAAATCAGTTGGCACTCTTATAATAGTTGGCATATCTGTATCCAAGCTATTATAATAATATTATGAACTTGTAGTCTTAGCAAATAATGAGAATGATATTTTTTAAGCTTTCAAGGCACGTTAAGTCTCAGCAATAGGGCCTTTAGTACCGAGTGATTTTAATCAGAAAATATGAAAATAATTGAAAGTGTTTAGTAAAATCGAGCTCTGAAAATTAAACAAACTAAGAAAAAAAATTAGAGTTTTTAAATTAGTTTTTTCTATAACTAGAGGGATGCTAATTTAAAAAGATTTCTTAAAATTTTAAATAACTAAACAATATGTTACTTACTTGTTTATATTGAAGTTCTGAAATATAAATCAAAAAAGAGACAATGCGATCGATTGCGATGTGTTAAGAAATAATAAATTATTTGGATAAAAAATATTGTTATATTTAAGTTTAATGTCTCATTCACGTTGTAATATTATATTGTAAAATTATTTTTTATATAAAATTATGTACGTATTTCTGACACAATTTAATTAACTATTCAAATTTCTATATATACATAGGAATATAATTATATGTGTATTTTATTTAAGTCACTATGTGCGTAATTATAATCAAATAAATTTTATATAATTTATATGTTATTACTTTATACATTTTATTTGTATAGAAGAAACAAATTAGAAAATGAAAAAAAAAAAAAAAATTCTTAAAGATTATATTTCTATTTTTAAAATATTATTCATTTTTACCATAATATTTCGAACGGAACAAAAAATAATATGCTGATAGTTTAAATTTATCACTCCATGAGCCTACTTACGAAAAATCTATTTTCTTCGACAAATTCTAAACATTAATTAATTACCCCTTTTGTGTTGAATGGAAATGTGCTTTTTCAGAAACCTTTTATTTGATTTTCATTATTATTTATTTCAGTTATTGTTCTCTCAATTTAATTAATATTTAAAAATATTTAAAATTATGTATTTAAAATATTTTGTTTCTTGCTCAAGATTTTCGAATACTATAGCACACATTGGCCCGGAATTGTAAAAATATATGATTAGATTAAATCACTAAAAAAATTTTATATAAAAAATAATAAAACAAAATTAAAAATTTTACACTCAATTCAATAATTTTAAGCAAGAATTTTTTTCGGATCGTATACGTAGGAATTGCTGGGCTCAATATTTTTTTATTCTCCCAAAAACTTAAGAAATCTTTAACAATAAATTATTTCTTAAATCTTAAATATGTACAAAAAAAATAATTCGAGAAACTTGTTATTTCTAAGTTTAATCCAAACCAGTTGGAAATATTTATTTACATTTCAAAATTCACGACACAACATCACATACCAATTGAGAAAGGCATTTTGAATCCAACAATTTTAATTAAACATTTTGTTATTAAATTTAATTAAATGCGAACACTTCTTAGACCGTTAGTTAGAATTAAAGGTTTTTAAGCGAACGCTTCTTAGAGTATTACAATCTTCTTAATAGAATTTTTTAAAATAATTTTTTTTTTTTTGTATTTTATTAAAATTATTTTCGTTTTATACATTATGAATAATTTTCCGTATATAATCCATCATTTTATTTCGAGAATCAATTAAACAGTCATAATATTCAGTAATATTAAAATTTTCTTTACAATTCCATAATTTTCCTTTTGAATAAACATCTTGACGAAATAACCAATCAATATTACCTTCATTTGTTAGATTTTCATAAACAGTTATTCCATTAAAAAATATTTGAAAAAAATTTGATTCATTTTTTGCTTTCTCAAATTCTTTGTTATTATTTGCTTCCTTATAAAGTTTTTGACATTCTTCTGGCAAATAGGATATAACATCTTTAATTTCAGATAAGTCAAAATCACAAGTTGGATATGAAAATATTTTTGATGATAGCATAATCTTAAAATAAATACAAACAAAATTTTAATATAACAATAAAAATAACTATAATAGGTTTCAGGAGTTAGCACACTACTTTTATATTGTTAGACAAACTGTTATACTGCAGTTAAAATATTCAAAAATTAATTAATTTTTAATACTCACTGAAACAATCATAAACAATATGAACTTTAAGTGATTATTTCCTTTTGGTTTTGACATCATTTATTGTTTGTAATACTAATATTCCAGTTAATCAAAATATATTACAGTATTTAAATAAGGTAATTGTAACAAGTGAACTATAAGAATGTTTTTAAAATTGAAATACAAAAAAGACCTTTAAAAGCCATGTGTAATTCTTTTCTAATTATTTTTTATATTATTCACATTATTACTATTATGTTTACTTTACGATAACAGAATAATCGAATTTTTATCAAAATTTACATCAAGTTGTTTATCAAGAGCTCACAAATTGATAAGAAAAATATAGAAAAAATTAAAAAATCAAAAAATTAAATGAATAAAATGAAAACAAGAATTTTAATTTTATTACAGACACAGAAACGATAATACATTAGAATAGACTGCCCTCACTGGCTCACGGGAGTCTCTCACTACATAGAAATGAGGTGTGTATTTGGTTTACAATATAATGTACAAATTTTGAGCTCCTCAATGTAGAAAATTTAAAGTTTTTGAAATATTTTTTCATAATCCCATTGATTTTATTATACATTTTATTATTCAATGAATTTCATTATAAATTCTACATTGTAAAATAAAAATATACTCGAATAATTCCAAGAATGAGCTTGTTAGTTAAAAATTATCTATAGTTAATTAAAATTTTCATTAAAAAAAATAAAAAAAATGAATTTATTATTTTGGATTTATTTGATTATCTAATTCAGTAATCATATTTTTTCTAATATCAATTAAACAATTAAAATATTCATTTATAATTTCTTTAGTATCACAAATCCAAATTTCAGTTTTATTATATATTTCAAATCTTAATTTATATTCTTCTTTCCCATTATTATTTTTTTCTTCATAATCACTTAATTTCTTCCAATATTCTTTATATAAATTTGATTCTGTTGTTGCTTTCTCTTTAACTTCCAATAAAGAAGAATCTTTATAAATATTTTGACATAATTCCGGCAAATGTTCTATATAATCTTCAATTGGTTCTAAATCAAAATCACAAGTTGTAAAATTTTTACGTAATGCGTTTATCTATAAAAATAAAATTTGCAATTTATAAATATTTTAATTTTTTCAGATATTTTTAAAAATTTTTTTAATAAACTCACATTTATAACTAAAATTAAATTAATTATTGTTAAAATCTGAATGAATCCTTGTAAATATTTCATTTTTTTTTCTTTCAAATATTTATTGATCGCAGATGTAAAATAAAATTATACAAAATTAAATCAAAGGTATAATATTTAACTAGACATTTCAATCCATTCGTTATAATGTTGACCGACAAACTGTTTTGTGATTAAAACACAATTTTTATTAATTAGAAAAAAAAAAACAAATTTTTTTTATTGAATTGGTTACTAATACAGTTTTTCTAATCAATTATATAGGAAACAAAGGAAAAAAATTTGATGTGGTCAGCACATAATCGACCGCAATGTGTATTGTCTAGTTAAGTGAAAGTGTTACAGAATATTATAAAAATGTCTGTCAAATACTCCTTTTCAATTTTTGAGACATTAGTAAGCTTATAATTAACATACCTAGAAAAATGTAAATTTGGCTCATAGTAGAGTTTCACTTTATGCTACCCCAAATTCGCCAGTTAGTTTCGGTAACAACCAGAACTCAAATATCAAATTTCAAGAAATTGCATAAAATAGTTTATTTACACTTCCCTTACCATGGAGTAGGGAATTCTCACCGAAAACTCGATATGCAAAATTTGTTGCCATCACATAACCTACCTATTGTATACACAATACAGTCGGTAAAAAACAAAATATCTTATCTCTGATAACATTATTTATTTTATAACTTATAACCGCATATAAAGGGTATTGAATCACCTTGTAGAATTTCTTTTTTATAAATTTTTTTTTTTAATAATTATGTTCTCTAATACAAATTAATATTCAATTTATACATGGTTTTGATGAACATGTCGCAGAAAACAAGAATTTATTTATATCTTTCTTGTACAAATTTCTAAATGCAATGGAAATTTATTCAAGTAGACCTTTATGGTGTGGGTGAAACAGAATTTTTATTATTTGAATTATTTTGAAAATTTTTTTTTAATATCAAATTAATTGTCTGTGCCTAGTAGTGTACTAAATAATACCAAATTGTGTTTTGTAATATTTGGATTTTTAGTTATTCAGTAATGCTTTAGATTAAGTAATAATCCTAAAGTGTTAAAGATTTAAACTACCAATATAATATCTAATTGCAGTAAATCATATAAGTGAAAATCAAAAAGCAATAATATTTGTTATATGTCTTGAAAAACACAATTTTTGGCATATACAAGGTATCGATAATTACAAACACGTATAATATTAATAAATATATTTTTTATTCAGAAAATTTGCGATTAATTGCATTTTGATAACAATTTTTTCTTATTTGAATGTATATTAGAGGCGTGAACCTTGACAATAAATGTATGTACCTTATAATATTCATTTCCTAGTTTTATTAAAAGAATAACAATAAAATAAAAATATGAAAAATTAACAATGACAAAAATTATTTTATTATTATTATGTTTTTTTTTTATTTTTTTGCATGTAACATGTAACAACCTAAAAAAAAGAATTGAAAACAAATGCGTGATAAATGTAAATTGTGCGTTTTATGTAAATTTTTTGTATTTTGCGAAAAGAGTTTAGCTATGACGAAACACTAATACTCTATATTATATTGACATAATTTTTTAACGTCACTATTCCTGTTACTATTAATTTACGAAATCTTCAACTTCCGTTCCCTCCTATTTACTTATATTGCACTCATAAAAATTATTGAAAAAAAAAAAATCGTGCTTAAAATTTAATTATAAAAAAAACAAATTAATAAAAAAAATTTCTTACCTGAATTTTTAAGTGCTAATATTAATTGCCGGGAGACAGTTGCGTAGACTGTCAAGAAATAGGTTTGTTGGGATGACATGGCTTTTTTTTAAACTCATTAGAACATAAAATTAGCATGTGGATCATGTTTTGCGAAAAAGAATGTCTCATGCCTTGCGGTCACATCAAATTTATTTTGAATTACTCAATCATCTGTTTAAGATACGACATGAAATATAAAACAAATCTGAAAGAAGCCTAAACTCTATTGAAAATCACTGCAATAGTTTGACTGGCAAAGATTCAACTACCCTATTCATCTAGCACCATATTTTATATACGTTCGTTTTAAAATGAACTAATTTTCATCCCATATATTAGCTTCGTCTCGCCCCGTTTTAATTAATAAAATTTACAAATTTTTACTGTTAATTTTTATAACTTAAAAATTTTTTATATTAAGACCTTTTACATTTAAGAATAATGCAACGGTACCAGAGTATTAACTGAAAAATTTTTATTTAATTTAATATTTTTTATAAAAATTCAACTTAAATTGTACTACAAATTTTAATAAAATAAGAAATGGTAAATAGACGTCATTGAACAAATTGAAAGAACTGATGACAAAATACTGTAATGTAAAATTTAAATATAAATTTTTTTTGTTCGTGATTATTATACACGTGCGTGCACTTGAAATATAGCAAAAATGTCAATGACATTTTTTTTGTTTTTTTTTTTTTTTGGTTCGGTATATTTAAGGTTAAGGTATATTATTTGTATCTAAATAAATTAGTATTGGGTACTATTAAAGTTATTTTTAAAGAAATTTTTTTAAATATTAGTAAGTATGTTAAAATTAAATTTCATAAATTTCTGTTTTGATGAGTAAATAGAAAAATGGACACGGAAGTGATACTCGTATGCACTATATTGTTTCTTTCCTGATGCTTTTTTTTGCTTATAACATCGGAGGCTCGTTACATAGCATCGCGATTGCAATTTATTATTTGTTCTGATTCTGCGATTAATCTACATTGTAGGAGTTACACGTATAGTTCTACAATTTTGTATAGTTGTAGTTAGATATTGCTTAATTCTTACCAAAAAACGAAAACATAAGAAAAGACAAAATTTATTATGTTCGAATTTAAAAATAAAACAAAGCAATAAAGACATGAGAGAATGAAAAATTAAAATTTTTTAATAAAAAAAAAATTTTTTTTTTGTTTTCATATTTTAACATTACAATTTTAAACTGTTAGATATTTGCGTATTTAATACATAGGTGCTCCCTATGTAAATTTCAAAAATTATAATAAATTATATAAAATTATTTTAAATGTATTTAAAACAAAAGTTTTCGAAATATTTTAATAAAGTTTCCTTTTTAATTTATTCCATTATTTTTTCTATTATTTTCACCAATATTGTGTTAAAAATTTTTGTATTTAAAATGAAAATATAAAATTATATTTAACCTAAGGTCGAATTTCTTCCCTTTTGTATAATACATTTCAGTAACTGAACAAATAGAATTTGAATTTTTTGTTTTTTTGTAATTCCTTTATATAGGTATACTCTAAAAGTATAATATTAATTTTGAATTCAAATTAGCAATGTTTGCTTATGGTAATATTTTAGAAAAGTTCAAAAAATTAAAAGTTTTTATTGTAAATACTATTTGGATGTTATTGTGAAAATTGCGATATAACAATTTCAATTTAATTGAGGGATTTTTTTTTGTAGAATTTTATTGCAGCTGATTTTAACCAAAGAAAATAAAAACTAGTAATAAATTATAGGGAATATCTTCATGGAAAAATTCCATGTTAGAAATTTTTTCCAAAAAAAATATTAAATTGTCTGAAGGGCTTTCAGCCCTTTATTTTGCATAACGAATGTGTATACTAACTAATAAAAAATTTTTGTAAATTTAGGACCATATGTCGAATTTAGGACCAAAAGTCTCCTGCTTTCTTCATCTTAGGTGTAGCGGCGTTTTGATTCCCGGAATTTTTTAGTAATATTCAATAATTAAATAAAAACACACAAGTTATTTTAGAGACTTAGGGCCTGGCCTGATCGTCTATCTTATTATTTTACTCGGAAAGTGAGAAGAAAGTGTGTAACTATCATATAATTGTATAATATAATTTTCAAGTGAGTAAATTATTTGGTATTATGTATCTCATTTTTTTCTGAAATGCATACAAAATTTATTCACTTTGTTTTTGAAATTGAAGCGTTCACTCAATAATTTGAGAAAAAATACAAAAACTCAATTGAAATAATGAGCAATCTTTCACTCAAATGAGCAATTGGAAAAGTGTAATAATATCCATTAGAAAATATTGAGAATTCTAATTTGAAAGTAAACAAAAAGTGAGTAAAAAAGATCATAGAAAGTGAACAAAAAGTGAGTAAAAGAGATACACGATCAGACTGATAATTAAAATAAGAGAAGTTCAATAAGAGACTTAATGAATAAGATCACTCTAGATTTTTAGCGGGGCACATTTTAGATTTTTCCAAATTTCGGATATCTGTTTTGCAGAGACGAATAAGTTATCGAAAAAGAAGCGTGTGAACAAAGTTGTCGAGAAGAATTAGTCGTGGAATCGTCGAGTTGTCGAATACATCGTTCTGAAATTACTATAAAATTAATCCTTTTACAAATTAAACTATATCGAAACCGAAAAAACAAAATCATTTACGATACATAACTTTATTCGAATTATCAATAACAAAGCTTTACGTACAGTTAACGCAATGTAATCTCACTAATACTAACACAACAACATTAGAATATTCACTAAATTTTTTTCCCTATAGGAAAATATTATTGAAACTTTAAAAAGCTTTTACAAAATTTTTATTAAAGTTTTCCAAATTTTTTTAATAATTTTAATAATACGCTAATTTAAATACGTATGAATTTTTTCTCTGAATGTCCATAATAATTCCACAAAAATTAAATATATCATTCAACTGATAAAGAAAAAAAAAAAAAATGAAGATTTTAAAAAAGAAAAATCTTCATTAAAAAATGAAAAAAAACAAAAAAAAAATTCAAAAGACGTACAAAATTCTTATTTTCTTACGTTTTTATACCCTGCACTTCGTGAAGGGTATATTAACTTTGGTATGGAGTTTGTAACTACTTGAAGGAGTCATCTGCGGTATGGACATATATATATATTCTTGCTCAGCGTAAAATTCTGCGTCGATTTAGACATGTCCGTCCGTCCGTCCGTCCGTCCGTCCGTCCGTCCGTCCGTCCGTCCGTCCGTCCGTCCGATCGCACGATAACTCAAAAACGAATAATGCTATCGACACCAAACTTTCACAAGTTTTTTCTTTTGTGCCAAGGACGAACCCTATTGTTATTGGACTAATTCGGACAACGGGTTCGGGTAGCTGCCATACAACTCAAAGAGTTTATTTTAAATATTTCGAAAACTAATAAAGCTATAAATATAAAATTTTGTACACATGTGTCCAATTACATTTTACACATGCTCTAAAAATTATAATGGGATAGCTGCACCGGTTCGGGTGGCTGCCATACAACTCCAACAGCAAATTTTTTATATTCGGCAAAATAATAAAGTCAGATTCATGAAACTTGGCAGTCATGTGTCCAATTATAGGTCAAATATATTTCTGAAGTTTTAGAAGAATTGCTTGACAGGTTCGGGTACCTGCCATACAACTCCAGAAGCTAATTTTAAATATTTGGAAAAATAATAAAGTCAGATTCATGAAACTTGGCAGTTGTGTGTCCGATTGTAGATCAGACATATTTGTGAAGTTTTAGTGGAATTGCTTGGCAGGTTCGGGTACCTGCCATACAACTCCAAAAGCTAATTTTAAATATTTGAAAAAATAATAAAACCAAATTCACGAAACTTGGCAGTTGTGTGTCCAATTATAGATCAGATATATTTGCGAAGTTTTAGTGAAATTGCTTGGCAGGTTCGGGTACCTGCCATACAACTCCAAAAGCTAATTTTAAATATTTGGAAAAATAATGACAGATTCATGAAACTTGGCAGTTGTGTGTCCAATTATAGGTCAAAGATATTTCTGAAGTTTTGGTGGAATTGCTTGACATGTTCGAGTGGCTCCCATACAAGTCCAAAAGCTTATTTTAAATATTTGGAAAAGTAATAAAGTTAGATTCATGAAACTTGGCAGTTGTGTGTCCAATTATAGATCAGATATATTAGCGAAGTTTTAGTGGAATTGCTTGACAGGTTCAGGTACCTGCCATACAACTGTAAAAGCTAATTTTAAATATTTGGAAAAATTATAAAGTCAGATTCATGAAACTTGACAGTCGGATGTCCAATAATAGGTCAGACATATCCGTGAAGTTTCTATAGAATGTCTTCACGTGTTCGAGTAATTGCTACACAATAACGAAAGGTGCAGGGTATAATTCAATCGGTTTATACCGACTGAAACGTTTTTACTTGTTTATTTTTCTTTTTTGGCACTTTATCAACGCATTACTACTGAAGTACTGTGTAGTCTTGCCGCCGAATTTAGTCCGCGTCGGTGATCGCGACGGAAAATGTATTGATTTAAGGCTACAGTTAATAAAAATAAAGGAAAAAAGTAAAAAATTAAATTTTTTCATCTTCTTATGATTTATTTAAACTTTATTTTTAAGAGTATGTGAAATTAATTTTTAATATTTTAATTATTAATTGAATTATTTAAAATTAAACAAAAAAAAAATATTAAAATGAAAAATGACGAAAATTATAAAATAGTGAAATTTAATTTTATTAATAAAAAATAGTATAAGAAAATTAATTAAAAAAAAAAAATATTATAAAAATTATTAATTGAAAATATTTTAAAAATTCTTTAATTGCAGGTCAATTTAATTAAATTTAATATTTAATTTTTTAAATATTTAAATAATAAAAAATAAATTAATTCCAAAATGCTTGGATTAGGAGATATGGCGGTAAGTGTTTTTTTTTTTTTTTTTTCAAAATAGAAAAATAAAAAAATTTCAAATTTCTTTACATAATCACGTCCCACACAATTTTCGCTAGAATATTCATTTTTTCATTTTTTTTCGTATTTCTTAAATTTAGATATTAAAAAGAGTAAAAAAAAAAAAGAGAAATAAATTAAATAATTTCGCCATTATACCTACATACACACATAGTACATATTATTATTCTTATTGTTTTCCATCTTAGGTAATTATTAATGCATAAAAAAATAATTTAGAAAATGTAAAAAATTATTATGTGCATAATATAATTTTAGTATGGCCAGTGGGTGGGCAAGAATATTATATACATATTTAAAATTTTAATTTTTACCTTATGTATGTATGTTTAATATTCTGTCTAGACATTGTAAGAATAATTAGCTTGGCAGGTGTATTTAGAAGATTTTCGATAGCAGATAATCAAAATACATACTTTTTCCATGAACTTGAGCAAAATGCACAAATAATATGCATGAATGCAAATCATAAAATTATAAAACAAGTGAAATTCATTATTAAAATTACTTAATTACAAAATATTTAATAGATTCTGTGAAAAATACAATAACCTAATACATAGAATAATGGTTTTTTTAAGAAAATTAAATATTACCAGGAGTTATTCCTACATACGTGCACTTGTATAATGAAAATTTTGTACAAAAAAAAATAAACACTCATTCTATAAAATATGTAATTTTCAAAATAGAAAAAAATGTTAAAATGCAATAATGTCTTCCTTATTTGGCAGCAAAATACTTCTGAATAAATTTTTTTTTAACATATGTTTTAACATATATGAAAATATCCTGACAGTTCCTACAACTTTTGTAAAAAATACAAAAAAAATTATTTCATATAACGACAAATTTTAAGTATATAGTTTACTTTGAAATAAAAACAAAGAGGATACTTTAAGGACAACTCAGTCCTACATGCTAGCATTTAATTTGCAGAAAATTTAATAATTAAACGAAAAATATTCATTTATAAACTGCAAACTAAGACTTTAAAAAATTCACAGCAAATTCGTAATCTTAATTTTACGACTTACAAGTAAATGTCATTCTATATGCAATACAACTTTTGGTTTATCATTTGTCAAAGACTTCATATCTTATCAATGGAATGTTTTGCAACTCGAGTTTCTATATTTAAGCTATAAACAATGACAATTTATTTGAAAACACAACAAAAATCAGACAAAATAGTTATGGTGAATTTCAATTTTCTCTCTTTTCACCTCACACTCACTTTTCACTTTTTTTTGCAACGTGGTGAGTATAAAAATATTTTTAATCAAATTTCTCAATAAAATGTAATAACTATACATTGTTTGAGAAATAAGCTCTCTCATTTGAAGATTTCACATTATATGAATACAACATAGCATATGTGCTCTCCATTTCTCTTTTAATCGTTGTTTACTCACCGAAATACGTTTTTTCACTTCATAAACCTTTGTTTTCTTCACAACAATTTAATTTTTTAAATTTTTCGAATTATCATACGCTCACTGTTTGATTAAAATTTTTTTAATGACAGATTCAATTTCTCAAAATGAATTCTTTTATTTGTTCATACATTTTTAATAGGTATATTATATTTTAAATGCATACCGTAATTTTTTAATGATATCAAATAAAATTTCTAAATAATAAAAAAGGCAAAATTAATGTTAGACCATAAATTATTCTAAAAATATTCAACCTAATTTTACATAGTTGTTTCTTATAAAATCTAATTCTAACATTAAATCGTGTGACCTGTTATTAATATTATGTTAGTGTTATGTACATAAACAATACTAAATTTCACTAAAAATTAATGAATGAACTGAAATGAAAAAAATAATTTTAAATAAAAGAAAACAAAAAAATACATAATTTGTAATAAAAAAGTATAACAATAGAATTTTTTTTTTCTTAAATAATTTCAAAATACAATTTCATCCATGTACAACATAACACACTTATAACCCATATACTATTGTCTGAACACATGATATTTGACTTTCGAAAATTTATTCGCTTAATTAATATGTAAAAAAGCATGACAAGAACGAAAATGAGAAAATAGAAAGGGCATAAGACTATTCTATTTCGCTTTTCTCCCTCAAATTATCAAAACGAAAAAAAAAAAATGAAAAAATTTTTTTAAAAATAAAATTTTTGATAATTTGCCAATTTGCATTAGATTATGCGTATTCATTCATATATGTGGGTATATGCACTTTGATATTTTATATTCAAATATTTTTAAGGTGTATGTACATTGAATATAATAAGTATACCAAGCAATTACACATTGAATACATGTAAATCTTGTTGTGATTCAACATTATATACTATATAGGGAGAGATGTAGTTTGCAGGAATTAGAAAAATTAGTAAAAATTTTAATCAAATCGAAAAATATGAAAAAATTTACAAAATTAAACAGCTTTGGCTCCCAGAAATAACACCCTAATAATTAAAGTAAACGGATTTCTAAAAGATTGATCTGTACAATTATACAAGATTGTTTATCACAAATAATATAATAATAGAGGAGTCTAAAACACAATAGTGTGGTTTAGAATGAGTTTTACCATACATTTATACTTTTTAAAGAAAGACAAGTAAATCCCATAAAATGCTGAGACATCTCGTTTCCGTATATGTATTAATCAAAAAATAATAATAAAAATCATTAGAGCCCAGTGAAACTCTGCAAAGCTCTAATGATTATTATTATGTTCAAATTATTTAAAAATTTCACATATAAACAATGAACTTCAAATAATTACTTAGACTACAATATCTAATTGCCCATTTTTTTCTGACTTTCAATCTGTTAAAAGCTCAACAATGAATATAAAATTTTTTTGAACTTTGATTGATATACTTGTTAAGTTTACTCTTGTTTACTTAAAATATTCATACTAAAAATAAATGTATGGGTACGCTTCTTTCAATCGGCATAAATTATTCAACTATAAACAAGATTTAGTGTGTTCATATCTTTAGAATTAATTTAAAAAAAAAATATATATATTATGTAGCAAAGGAAATTGAAATTTCATGAATTTATTAACGGAATAAAATCAAAGGAAATAAAATTTAAACATTTTATAATTGTTTTGAGAATAAAATTAATAAAATACATGTGAGAAAATTTCATGTTTCTAGAGAAGTGAAATTTTTTAAGGGTACTTACTACTTAATATTCATTAAAATTCTAAAATGGCTTTAAATCAATATTTAACATGACACCCTCTTATCTTTTTGACATCAAATTTAAAATAAAACGATAAGATGAAAGCGTAATCATATGTAAATAATCCGAATGAAAACGTAATCAGAGTCCTATGGTGATGCCTCATTAAATGCCAGAATAATATAAAAATTCCGATTGAAATTTGCATTTCACCAATTTCAAAAAAATAATTTTAATGAATTTATTTGAAAATTATTGTTGTTTTCATTTAAAAACATATAAAAATTATTTAATAATTTCTTTAAAGAAATTAATTTGATTTTTAATAAATTCCATAATTTATTGCTTTAATTAAAATATCAAAATATTTTCATTTTTCCTACACTCCTACCTATATAATAAACATTCAAAGAAAAAAAATTCAGAAGATCACAAATATTCTTTTATAAAAGAAAACATTATGAGAATCAAAGATTTACGATAAAAGCGAAAAAATCGAAACCCTCATGTACATAATACTCGTAGTATATATAACCTATAAACATATATGATTACACTTAATATTTTATGTATAAACATTTCATGTGCACAAAAATAGTACTACATTGATAGGGTTGACTCTTTCAAATACCTTGGTTTTCTGTTGGACTCCAAATTTAATTGGTCATCTTATATACTTAATCACTATCTTCCAGCTGTTATACGACATTTATATCATTTTAGTTGATACAGCTCATCCGATATTACATCAATACTGTAATATGAATTTTCGCCTATTCAAATAAATAAAAATTATGCCCTTACGTAATCTTTACTTTTTTAAAACACTCATTCTCTGCTTTGTATTAGATCTGAAAATGTTAGTGTTACGCATTTTATAGAACGCCAATATATTGTACACAATAAAAGAGGTTACATACTGATTTATTTTAAAAAAAAACGAGAAAAAAAGTAGAGTTGACTTTGTCAACTCTGTGATACCCGTACGAATTTGTTATCCTATGTGCGAATAACTAATGTGCCATAACTAACTATGGGGCAGACTATGACTTTAAGTTGCCGTATTACCATATTAATTTATGCAAAGTTTCAGTACTATGTGTTTTTCAAAATACTGGTTGTGCCAAACTACTATTGAAGTTGTATGGCAGCTACCAGAAAGAGCTAAGAAATTTTAGCGAATTTTATCAAGCACATCGGCCCTACTAATATATTCACTTGTGTGAAATCTCAATATCACAGCTTTTATAGTTTCTGAGATATAGTCAAATAACTTTTGAAGTTGTATGGCAGGTACCAGAAGGAGCCAAGTAATTTCAACGATTTTTACGAGACATATTGGCCCTACTAATATATTCGTTTGTGTGAAATTTCAATACTATAGCTTTAATAGTTTCTGAAATACAGTCAAAAAACTTTTGAAGTTGTATGGCAGGTACCAGAAGAAGCCAAGTAATTTCAACGACTTTCATCAGGCACATTGGCCTTATTAAAATATTCGTTTGTGTGAAATTTCAATACCATAGCTTTTATAGTTTCTGAGATATAGTCAAATAACTTTTGAAGTTGTATGGCAGGTACCAGAAGGAGCCAAGTAATTTCAACAACTTTTATTAGACATATTGGCCCTACTAATATATTCGTTTGTGTGAAATTTCAATACCACAACTTTTATAGTTTCTGAGATATAGCCAAATAAATTTTGAAGTTGTATGGCAGCTACCCGAACCGCTACCCCGATTATGTCCAATTTAAATAGGGTTCTG